TCCGGGCTGGCTATCTTTTTGGAGCACTCGAGGAAGTCGGCCAGGAAGCTGGGGGTGAAACAGGCTCTTGCTGACGACGAGAGACTATTCAGACTCACCACGAGCGTCAATGATGAGCTTTTGCATGTTCGTGATGCTGCTCTTGCCTGGCTCAAAGCGCTGTTCATGCCCAGATTTGCGAAGCATGCGATGGATCATGTTGTGCCACGGAAGTGGCCCGCTATGGAGTCCGCCTATACGTCACTGCAGTGGCCAGACTCACTGAAGGAGACTGTGGTGCAGCTGATACTGCACCAAGACGAGTTTATCTATGAAAGCATGCGCGAACAGCTCCAAAGCCTTGAGAATCAGATTCTCACAGGTCAAGCTGACTCCACATTTTCATACACGCTTGCTCATTTCTCTGACCTAGAAATGATCCAAACACTTTTCGAACTTCACCTTGACATATACGCGTCGATTAATAATCCTAATAGTGCGGTGGATGGAAGAACGAGAATTCAGCAGCGCGATCGCTTGGGGAGATGGAGCCTCCTCGCACGTACTGCTTTAGCACACTTCCTGGACCACAGCCACGCTAGCGCAAGCTGCCAGGAGGTCTTTGCCCTGCGACACATATGGGCATCGACTTTTCATTCCAATACGGCCAGTGACATCCACCGGGAGCATGTATTGCTCTGTCTTCAGGAGCTAAGATTCCTCTTTGAGCGCTTAAAAGACCCAGTAATTGGCCTTGTGAACAATGCGATCATGCCTGAATTGTCTTCCGAGGCCGTTGACCAAGAGATCTCGAAGCTCAAGTCCATGGACTTCTTCATGAAAATCTTCAACCCCAGCTCAGAGGACCCCGTGGATCTCATTGAGACCATTGAACCTATTCTTGAGCCCGCGTCTGTTCAATTCGAGGGTATGGACGAGGGGATCGAGCCACTGGAACCCAATTCTCAAATCACTGAAATGAGTTCTTTCCTGGATCGCGGCGATGCCACGCTGAGACTCTTCCTCTGGCGAAGACTACAGGATGCTTACAAGAAGATTGATTATCCACCCAAGGTCATTTCTTGCTACTTGCGCAGCATCGAAATCATAATGAAAGAGCTTCAGATCTCATCTGAGTCTGACGAACCCAGTGAGCACCGTCAAATCACCCTCCTTCGGTGGTTGAAGTCGCTTGATGGCATCTTGAACAAGACTGTAACAGCCGTGCTGCTCGACACGGACAAAGCATACGAGTGCTTTGATATGGAGCATTTGAAGGCCTCCTTGACCGCAGTGGCCTCTCTGACTAGACTTCTCTACGGGTTCTCATTGTATGAGGATCTACTTCGCGTCGGAGTGACCACAGGCCCAGAGGTCCGCGGGGCGCTATCGAAGTCTCTAGAGAGCCTCAAGGATCGACTGCGCGAGATGCAGGTACGCTGCTGGATTCTGCAATACACACTTGTAAAGGAAGCCATGTCTCAAGAGAAGGAGGAGTTCGAGACCCCTGCGGAAGATCGAGTGAACTACTTGCGAGCTGTTCATCAATGCCTGGGCATTCGCTACATGTGCAAACTGTCTCACAAGCAATTCCTAAAACTGATGAGGTCCGAGCTTTTTGCTATCGGTGTCAATGATGAAACTGAATGGGACATATGTCAGCTCCTGTACGACATCAACGGAATCAAGTGTTCACCCTTGTATGGCGAATTGGACGACCACAAATGCCCGACGGAGAAGCTGGATCGCACCACGGCTATCACCATGGTCAACTTGGTGATGAAACAGGCCCAGCGAATGAGCATCAAGGACTTGTCGAAGTCGGAGTTGAAATCCACTATCGAGAAGATGCAGCAGGCCATTGGCACCACAAAGTCTTCTCCTCCGCTATCTTACAATAAGCGCATCACAAATGCTTATCTGAAGTCTCCAATCAACCCTTTGGCGCTCTTCCGATCCATTCAGGGAGTCGCAAGCTTATCTTTGATCCCGGTGCTTGCCGAAAGTGCTATGATCGCTCGGAATGGCTGGTACTTCCTCCTTGGGTATGCGGCTTTGACCAGGTTTCGATCGCAGAAGCGCTTGAGCCCACTCCCAACAACTGATCTTGACGATGCCGTCATGTGCTTCCGACAGGACATTGAGCACGGAACGGCGCGATGGGAGACCTGGTACAGGTTGGCGCAGACATACGATTCGAAGTTGGAAGAAGACATCACCTGGACAGCTGACAGAATCAACAACAACCGGGCAGAGCTGGTAACATGGCAGCGCTATTCTATTCATTGCTATGCCATGGCCATTTCGACTGCCATGGGAAACTCGGATCCAACACCGGAGACCCGTGAGATGCTCGCGGACCTGTTCACGGATTTCGGGACTCGCCTCTACTCGTCCTCCAGGGAACCGCTGTCCATGGGTGCATTTAGTCTCACAGACTTCACACGGCATTTCAGCAACGAGGAAAGCCAAAGCATGTACGAAGGCCAACCGTTCAAGGAGATGAAGCTATACTCCGTGTGGAATCTAGCCAGCTACCTTCTCAAGAGGGCTCTAGTCGATAAGCCGAAGAACTGGATGTGCGTGTGAATGGCTCTGTTATACCTACAAAAGGCTAACCGCATGCAGGACTCATTACATGCTAAGCAAGTGTCTCTGGAAGATGTTCAGCTGTGACGAGTCCGTAAGAGGGCCGTTCAAGCAGCTCGATCTAGACACTTTGTTGGACTCTCTGCTCGATGCGATTGACGCTCTGCCGCAACGAAGGGATTCGCGTTCGGAACCGATATTTGAACCTCACTACAAGCTCGTGACTGTAGTGCACAAGTTGGTCCGGCGCGGAGCCTTAGAGGTATGGACACTATTTGCCCGACACGCTTCCATTAGATGCTTACATTTGCCTACAGCCCGCCGACGCCAGCAAGACACTTCTCGCTACGCCCTGGGCTCGCAAGGTGCAACCGCCGGAAGACAAGGCTTCTTGGAAGCGCTACATCTCCGAAGTACTTCGCAACTTGAAGAATGCAGACAAATCGAACTGGCACCATCGCATGGCGTACCGAGTATGTTTGAACGCTTCGAGTCCTTGTATACCTGGTAACTCCGCTGACCTCCCTTTAGGCTGCACGGATCCTCTACGAAGACGACGAAGACTCCATTGACGCTGCGTCCGCCGCCAAGAACGAGCTCACCCAGCAAATTGTCACCAAGACGATGACCATCCAAGTCTGGAAACCAGAACACGAGCGTCCCGGACGACACTTCGTCTACACCACACGATACGCCTATTTCTTCGTCTCTCTCCTGGACCAGCTCGACGACCGCGCCAACTTGGACCAACTTCTCCGCCGCGTGCGCAAGAAGCAAGGCGACTTTGTTAACCACGCCAAGCTCTGGGAGGACATGTGCCTCACCTACGCGGGGCTGATCCGGCGTGCTGCGAACATCAACGAAGGACACGAGGAGAGTGTGTTCAAGCCCATCGGCTGGGAGGAGTTCGTCACCAACACGGCACGCCTCGAGAGTCTGACCGACCTGGCGCCGGGCAGCGAATCCCTTCTCGAACTCATCCGCGACGCCATCGAGCTCAAGAAACTCAACAACAACCTGATGAAGGTCGCCCTGCTGGAGGACCTGATCGCCGACGTCTACTCGCGCCTCTACCAAATCAATATGCCGCAGGTGCTCGAACAAGCGCACGAAGAAACCAAAGAACGGCTAAAGGTTGACACCACCACGGTCCCTGGCGCCGCCGCCGCAGCAGCAGCAGGCGGCGGCAGCCTGATCACCAGCGACGGCGCCGCCGACACCACCAACACCCCGACGCCGCCCACCTCCGCCCCGGCCTCGGAAGCCCCCGCCCCGCGCGGCCGCACCAAAGGCATCGCCCGCCGAGACATCCAGAAGCGCTCCGAGGCCATCGTCCACCGCAAAGTCCCACCCCGCCTCCCCACCACATCCGCCGCCGCCACTACCTCCACCTCTGCCGCGGCCGCTGCCCCAGGCAGCACCGCAACAGCAGCCATAGCAGGAGGGAGCCGCAAGACCCCCACCACCACCACCACCACCGACCCTACCACAACCACAACCGCAGCGCTCGACCCCCAAACCCTTCCCGCCTCCGAATCCGCATCCGCATCCGCCGCCGGCCTACCACTCTCGCAGGGCAAGACCCTCCTCAAGACCGCCGCCAGCCTAGCCAAGGACCTGGCCGCGGGCCAGCAGAGCGATACCATCCCCGCCAGTCTCCACGATAGCGCCGACGACGAGAGCGAGCTCAGCGAGATGGACGACGAGAAGCTGTCCAAGCTCACGACGGAGCGGAAGTTGTTGTTCCCGAACCTCCGGGATGGGTCGCTTGATCCTGAGTCGGAGTTGGAGGGGCTGGTTAGTGGGGCGGATGGCGAGGATATGGAGTTGGGTGATGCGGAGGAGGGTGAGGAGGAGGGTGAAGAGGAGGAAGAGGAGGAAGTGGAGGAAGAGGAAGAGGAAGAAGGTGATCGGGAAGGGGAGGAGGGCGATACTATGGTTGAGGATGTTGATGTTGATGTTGACGTCGATGATGAGGGTGAAGGTGAGGGTGAGGGTGACGATGGCGATGTGGAGATGGAAGGGGACGAGGAGGAAGAGGAAGAGGTGGAGGAAGAAGTAGAAGAGGAAGAAGTAGAAGAGGAAGAGGAAGTTGGTGGCGAGGATGATGAGGAGGGTGATGTCGAAGGCGATGGAGAGGATGAGCCCCTGGGCGACGCGGAGGGGAACGAGACGGCCGATGAAGCGGACGCGGACGCGGACGCCCCCGTTGGTCAGCTGGAGATTGCGGGCACGGACGATGAAGATGAGAACATGACTGAGGCAGAGCCTTGAACCCTCCAATCTGTTGTTTCTTGCCGGATCAGCCTCGAACCCTCAATGTGTATCATACAATTCCTCATGATTCCACTCATTTAGCTAAGGACAAACACAGGTCGGCGTTACCAGGAAGAGCTGCTGGTCAAAAGATGTCTGTCCAAGTAACACATGTACTTTGGACTGTACCATAAAATTATTATCAACATGAAGAGCAACACGGATCAAAGTTCCAGTAATTTTCCCACAAACGCCAACAGTCCAGACGGATATCATAAACCACAAGCAGGAAAACTAATTCACCCCCAAACAAAAAAAAAAGAAACAAGAAATCCCACCAAAGGGTCAATCGTTCAGATATTCACCAGTGTTTATCACGGACGGGAGAGAGGAAGCTCATCCCCAGAAGCAGCCTTAGTAAATATCCTCCTCCGGAGCCAAGTCCCATTTCCTGGTGGCCATCTTGCGATGTTTCTTGCCGGGCGAGGAAAGCTGCTGCGTGGCCGGCGAGAACATGCTGTCGGCCAGTTTCAGCTGGTCCATGCGCTTCAAGGCATTCTCGATGTCGCTCTCCCGGCCTAGGATGTTAGAGTTGCGGGAGGGTTCAAGCGTCGTGGTGGTCGTGGTAGTCTTGGCTCTGGTCTTCTTGGTGGGCGATCGGCAGGTGAGCTCGCGTTCCAGCGCGGCGACCTTCTTGCGCAGCTGCTCGTTCTCAAACTCGAGCTCCTCCATGCGCTCATTGCTGGTGGTGTTGGGGTCTTCGTAGACTGGAAGGAAGATTAGTATTGTCGATGTCTCAGGAGAACGAGGAGAAGCAAGAAGAAGAAGGTACGTACTCTGGAAGCCCCGAGAAAACAACTCAAGCTTCTTATCCAAGTGCTCTTCGTTATGGCCCGTCTGCTTCGAGTTAGAGTCAACGTCGCACAGTTCGCAGAAAAGGAAACTCACCTGCTCGTCCCAAGCGCTCTGCCACCGGCGTCTCTCTTCTTCCATCCTCTCGTCCATCTCGTTCCAACATTCCTCACGCACGTCTTGTTCGATGGTGAGACACATCTCTTCGCTCGCTTTCAATCTCATGGCCAAGTCTGTTCTCACGATCTCTTCGTCCGCGAGTCTCCCTGAGAGGTTCTCATTCTCAGCTCGGAGTCGCTCGATCTCAGCGGCTGCCTTCTCCAATTCTTCGGCAGCGACTGAGCTTGTCGACTCACGTCCACCAATAGACCCATGGCGAGATTCAAGAGTGCTGGACAAGATGGATTCAGTGGCCGAGGGGGCTCGGGGCACAGCAACTTCGCGTGCCAACGCGGAGTAGCGCAGTATCTGCGAGGTTGCGTTGTAGTCTCCCCATGGGTTCGCCGTGACAATCATGATGGCTTTCTGAGGGTGGCGGAATTGGCCAAAAGCTTGACCAGGCGACGGAAAAGAGTTCGAAAAGAGTAGCTCTGTGAGCTTGCACTGCCTAAATGGGACCATAGCCGCCTTTTTGAGTCAGCAAACCTAGCGAACCACAAGGAAAGAGCTTGGTGTGGCATACCTTGTTGCCTTCCTGGATATCGCTTTGCATCTGTAGACATTGTCCGAGATACATCAAGCTCTCGTTAATCTTGCCTGCTTCCGCAAGTGTAGATCCTGCCGTCTTTGCAGTTCTCGCGCGCTCGGATCCTGATGCTAGGTTAGCATTGTTGGCATGTCGAGGCAGAGGCTGTGCTGGACATACCGGCTAGATCTGCCACTGTGAGCGTGTTTCCCATCCATGTCTCTTCGCCGGTTCTCTTGTTGCGCATTCTTCTTTTGACCTCCAGACAGAAGAACCCATGGCTGCGGGAACTGACGCTATTGGCACCGGTGCCTGCAACCTTTCGCTCAGTAAGTCCAACCTCCAAAACCGACAAAGCTTCTTCGTAAGTGCAGCATGCGATCTTGCGCAGTCCCGCGACGACCTTCCTGTCAGGCGATCCCTCCGTCGACTTGAAGAACAGCGGTCTGCGACGGTCCTTCTGCCCACCTCCCGGGCGAGTCATTGTGCTTCCTTGGCCAGGGACGATGGCGGGTGAAAGAAGGTCAAAAATACGGTCGTTGTACACTTCATACATCGAGACTAGAACGACGTATTCCGAGTGTGGGTTCAGCTCCATCGTAAGATGGCTCACGTCGGGCGATCGGGGAAGGGCGCCAGCGCGCAAGGGCATTTGACGACGGGGAAAGATGAGCGCCGGCATGGGTTCCTTTGAATTAGAAGAGGGTGAGTTAGCACAACATGTTTTGTAGCGATTCCAACGTCCGTGTGGGGTTGTTAAATGGGATCCTGGCAACTTCCGGTCCGGCGTCTTGCCACCGTACCGAATGAAGAGGGGATTCGGCAGACCAGGGGTGGGGGAACCGCCAAAGGTTGGCTTCGAGGTTGTCCGCGGACCATACGCAGCGGGCAATTGACAGCTTGTAGGGACCAGCGGTCGAGACCTTGGGGTGGGTTGCAATATAGGCTGGGGGAAAGGGCTCCGTACCGCCATGGGAGTCTGCGCTCTTCCGGCACTCATCGGGGTCTGGGCTCTCGGACTCCTGCCACGATCGAGCGATTCACCGTATACAGCTTCGAGGAACGTCTGCGCACTAAAGATCTGGGCTTCGGAAGCATCGGCGGCGGCAACAGAGGACAAGAGAAGGGGGCTGATAAAGTTGTCGAGGGGTCTGATCGTCGAAGCGAGGGACCGGAAGATCACATCCAAGCTCATCTGGGTGATACCTCGCTGCGTCTTGGAGCCCAGGATGGTATGACTCTGTGAGGATTCGCATTAGCATTATCGCCTACCACCACAACTAGACAAGCAGACCTTTCCACTCCCTGTGACGCCCAGTGTCGCGACCAAGCCATCGCGTCCTTCTGACAACACACCCTTTATCAAACTCTCCAGTCCCGTGCCCTCGAAGACGCCCAGCTGCGACGCGGAGTCGTCGAAGACTTGTGTAAACCCGAACTTCTCAACGGCGCGCTTCCGGGAGTCGCTGGGAGGCTGTAACGTGATATGCGTAGGCGGGGCATCTTGGTGGTTGTTTTCGGTGGTGTATACCTGCTCTGGGGATTCGATGGTCAAACAACGCTCGGCTTGTTCCTCTTCGTGCTGGGACATCGGAGGCCGCAGGCGAAGGTACACCTGGAACAGGGAAGTGGGGGGTGATTTTGTCGAAGCCATGTTTGCTGCTGGGTGGTTAGTACACGCCTGTTCACATCTAAGCTAAGGGTCTAGATGCAGTGCATGGGAGTAAGTTGGATGAGGAAGATGACGATTGGAGAGGGTCACGTTGGGAGTGGTGTGTTGATGGGTCTTATCCGAATCGGGATATTTTTCGTCGACCCGGCAACGCCTTCCGCATTTGGGGGGAAATCTGGGGTTGAGCCACCATCAATTCAGTTACTCTCTAATGTCAGCCTTGAGTCAACCTCACAGCCACCATCCACCATGCACTAGACTAGCAATGACAGACCTGCGAGGCTGACTTCGTGGAGCCAATCACAATGAGCACCGCCTTGCTCGTATTCGCTTGCTGTCGGCGAGGGTGCCAAGCCAAGTCTCGAGGATGGGTCTCAGGATCTCAGGGTCTCAGGGTCCATCCATCGTCACCAAAGACAAAAACCTGGAACCAGCAAGGCTAAACCCAACAACCCAGGAGAAACTTTCAAGAAGGCATGATGCTCTTGAGCACTCAAGACCACCGGTGTGCACCATGGAGAGACTGGTGGCTTATGCCATGAATGATCAACTCGGTTGACGATCGGGCAACAACTTTACAACTCAGCCCTCGAAGTGGTCATGTAAGGTTGGATGTTTAAGTCAGAGGTACATCTTGAGCCTCTCATAGGGCCTTGGCTGATTACTGGATCGAGGTTGCTCGTTTTCGCTAATCGGGCTCTGCCACACGCTGGACGTATATATTTCGTGGGCCAGGAACATCGAAAGGAGGTCTGGTTGTATATCAACTACATTTTACATTCTTCTTGTTATCGAAGTATCTGAGCAACAGTTGACGTTATTTAATTTGACTTGATCGATTTTTTTACCTATCATATCGTGATGCTTGACAGGAGATCACCGTACCGTATGCACCTTGGACCAGACTCGAACATGAGATCCAGTACTAATGTCCAACAGAGGAGGATAGTTATTGGTACTATGCTCCCAACAAGGGGGCTCCTATTACTTTCGCCATCTGGTTCACTATCTCTGGGGTTTGGCACATCTATCAATGCATGTATGCAGGTCCGCTTGAGACACTCAACGTTACCCGCTACTGACAACGACCGCAGAAAGTATAAGTCCTGGAAAGTGACCGGGATCTTGCCCTGGTCGGCACTGCTCTTCACAGGTGGCTTTGTGCTACGAGCTGTCGCCGCCTGGGGTCACTGGGATAACCTGCCGATCTTCATTGTCAGCACGGTTCTTCTACTCGCTGGCCCGTAAGTCGCCCTCGCGCCGGACAAGACCCACGACTAACAAATCTATAGTCCGGTCTACGAAGCAGCCAACTACTTGATCCTCGGGCGAATCCTTTACTACATCCCCTACCACTCACCGATCCATCCGGGACGCGTCTTCACAACGTTTCTCGCGATGAGCATGGTGATCGAGGTACTCACCGGGAACGGGGGTGCGTTGGTGGCCAACGTCGAGAACCCACAGCGCAAGCAGGACATCGGCAAAGGGCTGCTCAAAGCGTCCCTGATCTTGCAGCTCGTGCTGATGGCCGGGTTCCTTGCGCTGGCCTTGAGGTTCCACTATAACTGCCGTCGCGGTGGGGTCTTGAATCGCAAGGTGAAGCACGCCTTGTGTGTGTTGTACTGCAGCTGCGGGCTGATCACCGTGCGGACGATCTATCGGACGGTGGAGTACTTCACTGCCGCCAGCCTGAACGTGTCCAACATCAAGGACATCAGTCCGGTTCTCAAGGACGAGTGGTTCTTCTGGGTGTTTGAGGCGACCGTGATGTATATCAACACCACAATGCTGAACATCTTCCATCCCATGCGGTGGCTTCCACGCTCCAACAAGATCTACCTTGCAAGAGACGGGGTCACGGAGCTGGAAGGGCCAGGGTATAGTGACAATCGTCCATTTCTCCTCACGCTTTTCGATCCTTTTGATCTGGTTGGGTTGTGCAAGAACAGGGGACGACAAGAGAGGTTCTGGGAGGACGAAGCAGCCAGGAATATCACCAATTCCAAGGAAGGGCACGTTGCTGTTTAGATAGGAGCTGAAAGATGTCGGGGATGTCCTTTTCTCGCTGGCTAGCCTTGATGTAATTCGTTTGTCTGCCACAGATACTATAATGAGATCAATATGTTTAGATTCCAGAATGGAATGTTTGGGACAGTAGACTTGTCGTTGAGCCGACAGAAATGACTGACGTCTTCCACTCCGGCGGATCTCCCGCCCCGCCTGCCCCGCCCCGCCATCTCAGGAAAGGAGCTTCCAGTTCAGGTCCAGCTCCAGCTGCGCTGCCATCCAACCAACCCAGCCCAGTCCAGCCCATCCCAGCATCTCCTGTGTCTCCATCTGTGTCTGTTGTTGTCATCAACTTCCGTTCGTTCTCAGCAACTGCATCAGAATTAGACTCCATCCAACGCTCATCAACGGCCATCACTCAACTCATTCACCTCACAACCCCGCTTTCCACCTCCCAACCACAACCACAACCACAACCACAACCACAACCCAACAATCAAACCAAGATGGGCAGCCAAAAGCGGATAGCGAAGGTACAGTAAACACCTCATCCATCCTCCTCTCACCCTCACTGAGTCCTCAAGCTAACCATCCAAAACCAAAAGGAGCTCGCCGAACTCACCGAATCTGCCCCCGAAGGCATAACCGTCAAGCTGGCCGACGAATCCAACCTCTACATCTGGAACGTCTACATGGAGGGACCTGAGAACTCGCCCTACCAGGTAGGCCTTCACCCTCCTCCCCCCCTCCCCAATTCCCCCAAATATCCACAGCAACCCCTATCCCCTCAAAAAAAACCCCAATCCCCCTCAAACCCCCCCCAAACCCAAACAAACCAACTAACCCCCCCCACCTCCTCTACTACAGAACGGAACCTTCCACCTAACCCTCACCCTCCCCACCGAATACCCCTTCAAGCCGCCGACGGTCTCCTTCCGGACGAAAATCTACCACCCCAACGTCACCAACGACGACAAGGGGAGCATGTGCCTGGGGATGCTGCGCGCGGACGAGTGGAAGCCCAGCTCGCGCATCGCGGCCGTGCTGCAGTTCGCGCGCCAGCTGCTGGCCGAGCCCATGCCGGACGACGCCGTCGAGGGCCGCATCGCCGAGCAGTTCAAGGGCGATTTCGCGCGGTACGAGGAGGTCGCGCGCGAGTGGACGCGGAAGTATGCTAGTGGGCGGGCCTAGGGGGGTGGGGTTTCATACTGGGGGTTTGAGCCAGATGGAGGATGAGGGTGCATGCTTGTGGATATGAGGGGGGTTTGGGGTTTGGGGTGGTGACGTGACGTGACAATGGTAGATAGATACTTTTAATATAAATATTTGTTTCTTTTTGCTCGGTAACCGGGTGTCGGGGTGGGGGGGGGGTTTCTTGCTCTTTAGTCGCATTGTATTGTCTTCGTATTGTTGTTCGAATAGATGCTTGCGGGGGTTTGATCGGGTCGTATAGGTGTGCTGTGCCTGGTGTTTAAGGTCTCTGGCTGGTATCAAGGCAGCTTCTAGTTGATTGAGTTTCGAGCTCTCAGGGCTGTTGAGAATGCTTTCCATCTACAGCGATTGGAAGTGTTCTCCAAGAAGGGGTATTGTGTCTGCGCTCCCTATACTGGCTAGCTTGAACATCAACGCTGTCAGGATCTCATACCGAGCATGGGCGTCTACGCCAGGGAAAGAATGAGTGCACGTAACGAATTACTGCCCGTCTTTAGAGAAGCACGGTTACTAGAAACGGACTACCAGACAAGCAGTCGTGGACACTGAGAGACGTCCAAAGTCGTATCCTTTCAGTCAGTCTAAGCAGTACCAGAGTATAACCTTCATCCTCCTCGAGGCTCAAGTCTCCTGGGCAAGCATCATGAGATGCTGCGCATACATGGTCGCTCAAAGCAGTGCACAAGCAACCAGTCCCTTAATCCAGGCATTTCAGCCTATCTCGACCCAGTCGATCCCACCGTGGTCCAGTTGAATTTCTCCAAGATCAAAACTTCTATCTTGATCGCGGACATCGCGCCCCTAAACGAAATCTGGTTAAGGCCACTCCTCCAGCGAGGGCTACGGTAGATCAACTTCAAGGTCGATTCGGCTTCTACTCAAACCCCTTTCCAAGTTCGTCGTAGCGCCCGGATACTAGGTACACTCTTCTGTCACTTATCAAGGTGACGTTGGACCAATCATTCCAAGCCTCCGTGTGCATGATGACAGCAGGCCTGCAACACAATTGAGCGAGGCATCAGATTTGGGGGTCGCTTGAGGCGGGGAAAGCACAGGCCTGGGCTTGAGACCTCGATTCATAGAAGGGGCGCTTGCTGGGAAAAGACAGAGTAGTGATGTAGTGCACAGCCCTGGAAAAACCTCTCTGTCCGTCAATGCGTACCGCAGGATCGTGGTACCCTCAGTCTGCAGGCTGAGCAACAACCGAAGTTACCGCTGGATCGTCGGGTCGCATGGCTAAGCCAATATTGCACAGTGGTCAATGCGCGCTCAACGAGATATTCGGTCAGATTTCGACGGTGGAAAGTGGTGCAGTAGCCGGTGCCCGGCGCGAATCTCACATCGTCACAAACACGAACAATGACGCAGTGCTGGACGCAGTGCTGGAAAACGTGGTCGGTGGCCCGGGAAATCGATGTCGCCCGGAGATTGAATGATAATCTTAATTAATCCGGGCGACAGGAACCAAATCGGATTAAGCGCCCAGCTCGGCGCCAGCGAGATGAGGGATCGGGCTCGACTATATTTAAATGGACGGCCGACAGGTTCGTCATCGCAGGACCCACCGAATGACCGCATTGTCCGGATTTGGGGTGCGCCAGGGCTTGACACTATTGCCATGATTAGTGAGATCAGGGATCAATAACCGCGCGGTGGATGGTGGCCAGGAATGTGTCGGCGCCTTTCGCGGGTTGACAGTAGCCTTGTCGCTGGGACGGGCAACAGTGAGGCTGCTTGGTCGCTATTCGCTGTTGAGTTTGGAGTGGTGCTGCTTGTGAAAAATCTTCAGGCAAGGGTCTAGGCCGAATCATCTCGGGGCTTTTACTTATACAAACAGAGAGATGGAGGCTCGTGGAATAAACGAACGGGAAGCGAGGCCAGTGATCCATGGAACGGTTATTAGCCGGGCACAAGTGGAGATGAAGTCAAGACTCAAGCGGGACAGTTGGCGTTTTCTTTTCAAGGGTATTGCAGAAGACACTTGTGGCCTGCCATCGATAACGTCAATGAGGGAAAAGCGGGCCCGGCGAGGAAGTTCTTGATGAGTTCATCTTGTTCTTGGTTCGTTCTGAAGCGGAACCTAGTCTCGCCCGGCCTTAGGCAGGAAGGGCGTCTCCCTTAAGCTCCTCAGGCTCCTCAGGCTCCTCAGGCTCAGGTACGGCCGCAAGTGGGGATTTCATCACGGGACGATCGTCCAATTGCTGACGCGCCCCCACCTGACTCAGGAACAATAGAATGTCGCATCAAAGGCCTGAATCCCTTAAGATACTCCGAAGGGTGCGATGCAAAGGTAGGATGGTGCAATGTGCGGTGCAGATTTACAAAGTATTGTCTTCGTGCCTCATCTCCTTGTCCGCAGGCAACCTCTAATCAACAACAGTCTCCAGTCAAGTCCAAAGCCACTTCGGGAGTGACCCGTCAGTTCCTGCGGTCGAGAGACGGCTGGCTGGGCGAGCCACGGCGAACTTCGAAGCTTCCGCGAGTGGGTGGGCGCAAAGGGGAGACGGACGGAGTTTGACTGAAACCCAGTCGGCTCCACTGTGTATGAACCATACCAACGGTAATTTTAGTATTTCGGTATTTCGGTATTTCGGTAAATTGGCCAGTTTCTTCATCGACCAGCAGCATCAAACCGGTTTCTGTTTTGGGGTGGCATCATCAGATCTGTCGGTCTTGAATTGCACAACCAGCACCGTTGAGATTGTTCGCATCGGATCTGTAATCGGGTCGGATCCTTCCTAAGTGTCTCCGGGGCTGCGGCAGTGCACACTAAACCATGCAGCCTGCAGCAGATGCAGGCAAGTCTGTCTGTGACGGAGTGACCTGTCAGCAGGGACAACTGATATGATAGATTGTCGACTGATCAGGGGTTTCTAGGTTGGGTTTCAGTCTTTGGTGCAACCCCTTGTGCAGCAGTACAGTACACTGTAATCAACATCAAACCTAAAGTGTAATCAACGTTAGTCAACTAGTTGGACTGATCTCATCCTGGCGTCAGTCTGAAACCCATGCCCAAGAAAAGGACGAAAAGAACCGGATTGATTAACGAGGTTGAGAAGCTAAAACTGGAATATAATACTCAATACCACAACGGTAACTGCCCAGGATAACTTCATACGAGGCTAAGCCAGACAGGGTCTTTCTTCCAATTCGAGACCTGCGCTAGCCCCGATCCAGCTCCGCCGTCTTTTTTTTTCCCCTTTTCCCTTTCGGTTCGATGTTTCGTTCTCTCAGGCTCTCTTACAACCATTCCACCAACTCACTCACCACGCCGTCCTCTTTTATCCCTTCCATTCCCTCGCCTCCTCCCCTCCCCCCCCCCTCCACTCCCCTTCCTCTCTTCTTCCCTTTTCCTCTTTTCGAGTTGATCTGTCATGGGATGGAGTCTCGGATTGACCCTCTGGTAGGATCGTGAGACTGCGGATGGATTGTTTCCTTCTGGGCTGAACGAGGCATGACCGTTACTTTACTTACTCTTACCCACGCTTCTCTCCGCTCGTTTCATCTACGCGCCTAACAAGCCAGCGCACTCACTCGACTACTCTTCGCTCGTTTATCGCTGTCACTACCCGCCCCCTGGGTCTTTAGAGGCGCCTATTTCTACTTCAACTTCCCTTCGTTTCCTATCATTTGAACCTGGTCTCTTCTGTCAACCTCTGTCCACCCGCTGTCCACCCGCTGAATCGGTCATTGGAAATCGTCGATTCGCCTGCGTTCGCCCGTCCGATCATCGCTCAGTGTTGTCGACAAATGTCCAGCGGGAACTGGGGTTCAACAGCTCGTGGCCATGGTCACAGGAAATGCAGACTTTCGTTATCCGCCGCCCCCTGCTGGCGCGCATGATATCCCTAGCCGGCGCAGAATCCCGAACCCACCCCGCCTGGATCCTCTGAGACTCAACCCTCCCTTTCCACGACCGGCGACGGCGGACGGCCCTCGGCCGCCCTTCTCCCCTCACCCTCCTCCTCCTGTGCCTCGTTCCCCCCGGGTCCGCCCACCAATCCCACCGCCGTCCGATCCCTCATGGCGCTCGGTCTCCCCCTTACCTGTGGAGGATGACGACTTGGTCATTCGCCAACAGGCTTACCGCTCCCCCACCTTTCCCCTGCAGCCGCCTGTTCGGTCTAGGGCCGCCCCCCGAGAAGGGGAGGTGGATCGTCCACCTTACCGGAAGTCCCCGCCTGCTCCGCCAGCGTTGCGCACGTCCAATTCTACGTCGAAGCTACATAGCATGCGTCCGCAGCTGCACCCTCATCGAAATCGAGAACGCCGGCCAGACGAATCCGCCGCCTTGAGACTGCCCCGAATCATCCCGCCTGGGACATACGCCGAGATGCGCGGGCAAGATGCTCTTCGATCCAGCGTGAACTCGGCCATGACCTCGCGGTCGAGCATTGAACATGCCAGCGGAACCGAGCGGAGCAGTGTCCTGACCAAAAGTAGCTCGATCACCGATCTGTCGCCCGATACCCCGGATGGCTCCTATGATAAGGAGGGTGGGATGAGTGTGGAAGATGCCATCTCAATGTACCTGGATGGCTTCAGCGATGTCACCGAAGAACCGGGATCGCCTGGGGTATATGACTCCTCTGGATTTTATGATGAAAGCAAGGCGAGGCCATTGAGTCCACGTCCACCCACGGAGATCACCCTCGATGATTGTCATAGCTCGGATGAGCATTCGCCTGAACTGGAACCCACCGAAGATGTTCCGCCCGTTCCCCCCTTTCCAGCGCTGGAGGATCACGGCAGGAGCTCACCGGATGAAGAATTTCTGGGGGAGGCAGCTTCCCACAACCAGTTGCCGAGCCCTCCTTCGGAACGCAAGTTTTTGGATCCGCCTGTTACACGAGAGCCGGAGACCACGGTCATCATTCCTGGCATCGTGCCGCCGCCGTTACTCCCCGGCAATGGCGCCCGCGACTGTTATGGCTTCCGCAAGGCCACTCACCACGTTACCCTCGTCCAGTATGAAGCATGGCATGCCCAGTATAAGGATTACACCTCTCAGCGAAGAATCAAATGGGTGGAGCTGCTTCGAGAGAATCGGCTGCCTGTTACCGATCCGACGACGTTTCCTCCCAAATCGAACAAGGTCAAACGGTTCGTGCGCAAGGGCATCCCATCTGAGTATCGCGGCGCAGCATGGTTCTTCTATGCGGGAGGCTACGAGCATCTGAATCGAAATCCCGGCCTCTATGATCAGCTGGTTCGACAGTCGATGGAGTCCCCTAGCAACGACGACAAGGAACACATCGAACGTGATCTGCATCGGACCTTCCCGGACAATATCCATTTCAAGCCGGAGAACGTCGACTCGGCCGCTAGCTCTGGTAGCAGCAACCCGAGACACGGTTCCGTCACGGTGGAAACGGAGATGATCCAGTCGCTGCGGCGCGTCCTGTATGCCTTTGCTCTCCACAACCCGCAGATTGGTTACACCCAGTCGTTGAACTTCATCACCGGGATGCTGCTGCTGTTTCTTCCGGAAGAGAAGACCTTCTGGATGCTGCACATCATCAGTTCCGTCTATCTCCCCAGCACGCATGAGATCAGTCTCGAGGGCGCCAACATCGACCTGTGGATTCTGATGGTGCTGCTGAAGGAATCGGCGCCCAACATCTACAACAAGATCGCCGGGAGTGGACCTGGCGCGGGGAGCGGGAAGGTGCCTGCCCTCACCGTCAGCTCGCGTCTGCCCGACATCACGCTGGGGCTGACCAACTGGCTCATGTCCGTCTTTATTGGCACCCTGCCGCTGGAGACGACACTGCGAGTCTGGGATGTGTTCTTTTATGAAGGGTCCAAAACCTTCTTCCGGGTGTCGTTGGCGATCTTCAAGTCGTGCGAGCAGGATATCATGGGGGTGTCGGACCCGATGGAGGTGTTCCAGGTGGTGCAAACGGTCCCGAAGCGGCTGTTGGATGCGAATTCGCTGATCGACGATTGCTTTGTCCGGCGACATCGGGTCGGACAAGGGCGGATTGAGGAACTCCGCGCGGCGCGACGGACGGCAGTGCGCCAGGAGAACATGCGTCGGTCGCGGGCGATGAACATGGGCCAACTTCAGGCGGCGACGGACGACTGGGCGCATGGGCGCTCGCGGACGCCGACGCATGGGATCGAGCGCAGCATCGCGGATTCCTGGCGCCACATGAAGCGACACCATGGCTTTCGATGAAAGGGCGGGGAGGAGGGCGTTGAGGTTGCCCAGGCGGGCATGCTATGTATTTATTGATACCCAGATTAGCTTGATTCTACACTCTTCGGCTGTTTACTCTTATGGGGGGGGGGTTTGTGTGATGCAGACGTCACTTGTTTGTTACTCGGTTCATGACTGATCATTGCTGTTACACTGCTAATACTTAATGAAAGACCGGCAGGCAGACCATGGTGTACTGTACATACTATACATAGACAGAGACAGACACGACAGAGTGGCAATTAATGTTTCTTTTGTTTTGATGACGCTGAGATTGACGATCGAGTGAATTGAGTTGAGCGATCCATGGAACGAGCTTGGCGATCGGATCGATTCTCTCACAATGACGCGCTCTGGTGTGCGGGTGTAACCGTTGTAACCTTCGGGCAGCGCCGCATGCGTCTTCACCTTCACTTGCTCAGCTCTTCCTTTAACTTCCTTCAACCTTGCTACTTCCTACCCCTTGCATGCGGTCTTACTTCCCCCACTAACCTTGTCGCAGTTTCTCGTCAGGTTTTCCACAGTACATAGACAGCGCACCTCTTCCTTCCCGTCTCCCGCCGTCGCAGCATGCAGCAACCATGAGCGGACAAGCAGCCAGCTACTACAACACCGAGCAGCGCTTTGACGGCTCTGCGCCTCCGCCGCCGCCGCCGCCGCAGCAGCAGCAGCACTACAACAATGGCTCCTACGCCCAAGGCCCCGAGTCCCAGCCCTACGCTCCCAACGGAGGACAAGGCTACCAGCGCGGCCCCGAGCCCAAACCCCCGCACGAACCGCAAGAACCGCCACCCACCTACAACCAAGCGGTCTACGGCTTCGACGACGCGTTCAAGGTCGAGAAACCGAAATGGAATGACCTGTGGGCTGGACTATTGGTACGCCCCTTCCCCCCGCGTCCCCAAAGCACCACTAACCAGCCTGCCGGCGCCAGCTCGTCGCCGTCTTCCTGGGCTACGTCGCGGTCTCCGGGGTCGTCATCTACCGATACAGCAAGTACCACCGCCTGAGCGGCGGGGGCATCTACGGGGCGGCGAACGACTTCTCGCTGAACACGAACACGGTGATCCTGCTGGTGTTCGTGCTGGCGGTGGCGCTGGTGCTGTCGTACGGGTACTGGCTGGGGGCGCGCACGGCGCCGCGGCTCTTCATCTGGGTGACGGGGATCCTGAACGTGGTGTTCGCGCTGGCGACGGCGATCTACTACCTGACGCAGCGGCAGTGGGGCGGCGGGATTGTGTTTCTGGTGTTCGGGGTGTTCGCGATCGTGTGCTTCGTCAGCTGGATCCCGCGGATCCCGTTCACGGCGTTCATGATGCAGACGGCCATCGAGGTGTCGCGGCGGTACGGGCACATGTTTGTGGTGAGCACGGTGGGCGGGCTGGTGTCGGTGGCGTTCGGGGCGTGGTTCTCGGTGACGCTCGTGTCGATCTACGTGGCGTATGAGCCCGGGGGCGGGGGCGAGGGGGAGAGTGTCAACCCCGCGTGCCGCGACGGGGGCGGCGGGTGCAGTCGCGCCCGCGTGATCGGGCTGGTCGTCTACGTGACGTTCGCGATGTACTGGTTCAGCGAGTGGCTGAAGAACACGGTGCACACGACGATCGCGGGGGTGTACGGGTCGTGGTATTTCTGCAGCGGCACGGCGCAGGGCATGCCGGCGGGGGCGACGCGGGGCGCGCTGCGGCGCGCGACGACCTACTCGTTCGGCAGCATCAGTTTTGGGAGTCTGATCATCGCGCTGATCAACATGCTGCGGCAGGCGTGCAGCGTGGCGCAGCGGCACGAGGCCGCGCAGGGCAGTCTGGTCGGCAGCGTGGCGTTCTGGGTGCTCGGCTGCTTCATCTCCCTGCTGGACTGGCTGGTCACCTTCTTCAACCGCTACGCCTTCTGCCATATCGCGCTGTACGGCAAGGCCTACCTCCCCGCCGCGCGCGACACCTGGTCCATGATGAAGGACCGCGGCGTCGACGCCCTCGCCGCCGACTGCCTGATCGGGCCCGTGCTGACCATGGGGTCCGTCTTCGTGAGCTACGTGTGCGCTTTGCTCGCGTACCTGTATCTGCGGTACACGCATCCGGCCTACAACCAGGACGGGGATTTCACCGCGGTGATCATGGCGTTTGCGTTTGTGATTGGGCTGCAGATTTGCCAGATCTTCATGACGCCGATGAGCAGTGGCATCGAGACGATCTTCGCGGCCATGGCCTGGGATCCGCAGGTCATGATCGAGCAGCATCCGGATCTGTATCAGCGGTTGGTGCAGTTGTATCCGCGGGTGCAGCAGGCGATTCATGCGTAGGGGGTTGTTGCCGGGAGGGAATTGCGGTTCTCGCTTTGGTAGGTGGGTTGGTGTACGAGTATGCTGTGGTGTGGTTGAATAGACCTGTGTCTCGAGTCTAGATCTTGGGATGCCTGACTGCACGTGTATACTAGTGTCTATGCGAGCCCGTTAGAGCTAATGCTCAGTTGATGCCAGTGTTAATGTAATATCTAATCCAAAAAGCACAGTCATTTTCATTCCTCATGCGCAACCGAAGATCAATCAAGTCATACACATCATCCCGAACAGATCAACTCCCATTCCCAAACCCAAACCCATAAACATCCACCGTTTTATGCAGTCTCCCCCCCATCCAATTTCAAGTCCAAGAACCGGTGAAACCCCTTTTTCACCCAAATCTTCCCCCTCCCACAGGAAGGAGGACCCAAAACAACCGCCCGCATCAGCATCCACCCGAAAGAGAAATCATTACCCATACCCATACCCATACACACCCATACTCCTCTTGACCCTCACCCGTCAATCGTACAAAAGGTACAGTCCATCACAGAACAAGCACCACCCCAACAACAACCCCCACAACCCCCCAACCACCCCCCCGTAATCTCCCCGCACCCCCCTGAAACAACCCCGCATTCGGATCGCCTCCTGCGGGTTGCTTCCCCGCAGAACCAGCCGCAGCAGGACCCCGTACATCCGTGGCCGTAGCGGTAGCGGTAGCAGTCGGGTTGACGGTCACGAGCTTCACGGACGAGGAGGTGATTGTTGGGATGGGGATGGCGCTTGCGCTGGGCTGGCTTGGTGGGGCTGGCTTTGAGGTTGAATAGGAGGAGGGGAAGGGCTGGGGTGATGCGGCGCTGGTTTGGAAGGTTGCTGTCGCTGCTGCTGCTGCTGCTGCTGCTGCTGCTGCTGCTGCCTGTACCGCTGTTGCGCTGGCGGGGGTGCCATCTGCGGCACCTGCGGCACCTGTGGCGGTGGAATAAGCGGAGGGTGTTAGCTCTGAGGGGAGGGGTTCTTGTTGTTGTTGTTGTTGCTGCTGTGGAGCTTGATACTCTGCGGGTTGGGGTTGGGGTTGGGATTGAGTTTCCATCTGGGTATGCATCGGGGGATTAGGGCTGGGAGCCACCGCAACCGCAACCGCAGCATCCGGATTCGCATTCGCATTCGCATCCGGGAGGACCACCGATTCCAGCGGGAGGGGGACGTTCTTCTCTTCCTGCGCTGCTTGGCCTGCTCCTGCAGCTGGTGCAGCTGCAGCAGAGCCGAGCACGGAGTCATCATAGGAGGAAGGCAGCGGGAGGACCTCCTCCGGCAGAAGCAGGGGGCCGTTGTCCGGGTGCAGGTTGGGGCTGTAGGCTCGTGCATTCACTCTTCCTCTTCCGTCTCCGGCCGGTGCCAAAGGCCGGTTTGCGGTATCGTCGCCCAGCCGCACCATCGGCCGACTCGCGCGTCGCGGGGCCGCCGGGGCCCCAGCGCTAGGCGTAGCCAGCGTGCTTGACGCTGTAGCGGTAGCGGCTGCTGTAGCTGCAGAACGACTCGCCCCCAGATCTCCCACGCGCACCATGGGCTGGCTGCCCCGATGCGATGCAGATGCACCACCGATACTGGCAGCAGCACTGGCAGCAGCACTCGCACTCGCACTCGGGCTGGGTACGCTCACGCTCACACCTGCACCCCCGGTCTCCACATCACCGCTCCCCACCCGGACCATGGGCAAACTGCCTCTCTGCGGCGCTGCACCACTGCCACCAGAAGCACTACTGGCCTCAGCATCCCCCTCCCCCTCCACATCCGCATCCGCAACCCTCATCATAGGCACACTGCCCTTCCGAGGCGAGACGGGAACGTTGGCGTCATCGCAGATATACGCGGGGATATTCTCGGTTGCTTTTGGGGTGTGTTAGCTGGACCCAGAACAACAGGTGTGCCACTTCCTAAAGACGGGGGGGGGGGGCAGAAGGTACGGGCAGTGACAAGAGCAAGGGCAAGGGCACGGGCACGGGCAAGAGCAAACCTACCCACACCCTCACTGGCGCACTCGTCCAGTGTCGCCGGGTCCAGTGCCGAGGGGTCGAACGGGGCGTTGCAGAAGCAATCCAGGGCGGAGGGGGAGGACGAGGAGGAGCATTGGGGGCTGTGGTAGGACTGGGCTATGGAGGACTAGAGTACACCCTCCGGTTGCTCATTAGTATTCGATTTATCGGGCGCAGAGTGATCGAGAATACTCGATATACTAGGGCAAGATGTCGGTGTAGGGGAAAGAAAAGGCAGGGGATGCGTACCGCACAGCGGAGATACCCCAGATCGGTATTCGAAGTGGCTGTAGCCGTAGCTGTGGCGAGGGTGAGAGTCGAGAGGATCAAAGTTGAGCGCATCTTGTCCGCGTGTACCGCGTATACAATACAGTGGGCGGCACAGTGTCTGATTTCAAGATGGTCTCCGAGGGAGCTTGATGGTAGGGTCTATGGTGTTGAGTCGCCTATATACATACGCTACTCTCCGGCACATACATACATGCAATGCTACCTTCCACGCCCGAACTGCCATCCCCTGGATTCCAGCACCAGCCCGCCCGGTCGATGGTTTCAATCCAGAGTCCAAAGAGGTGGCGCGGTCGGGCGTCGTCGACAGGAATGTCGCGGAATGTCTCGATCGAGTAAGGTATGCGGCCGGCGAATGTATCGCCAAAGTTAGGGTGTCACATCCCGGGGGTGCACCTGCATGTCACTCACTGGCCAGGGGCGAATGAAACCGATCTTAGCCCCGAGAAGACGCGAGTGGGAGGCGATGAGAGCCCTGAAAAGAGGCGATGGAGAGGCGGCGATAGACACAAATAGTAACGGGACTTGTACCGGAGTGGCAAGCTGGAATGCGCGGCATCCCCTGTCATTAAAAGCATAATCACTAATACCGTCTCAACACACGGGTAACTAATCAAACGGGAATCGTAGCAATCGTAGGGGATCACCGCCAGGAATCACCAAATCAAAACCGCTCGCTGGTCACACACCGCGTGGTGTTCACCAGCACCCACGCAAACACCTTAACCGCCCAAGTCAGCAGCTGCACCACCACCGCCAACCCCAAAAACACCACCCGCAGAATGGCCCGCGTGATCCCCGGCAGCTTCTGGCCCTCGCGCGACGAGCCTTGCCCGTAACGCCCGTACCGCTCCAGGTCGAATTCCTCCACCACGATCTTCCGGCTCCTCGGTTTTGGGGCCCGGCGGCGGCGGCCCCAGAACCGGTACCAGCGCGTCGGTTTCTCGCTCGTCTCCGAGCCCGACAGCGCCGACTTCACCGTCGACCACAGCTGGCTGCCCTGCTGGGCCTCGTCCCGCTCCGCCGCCGCCGTGACCAGGTCGCCGCGGTAGCCCGTGTCACCATACACTCCAGGGCCCCAGGGCGTGATGGACCGCTCGGATCCGTACAGGACCAGCTCCTTCAGGATCGGGCCGGTGGCTTCGTCCGACACGGCGACGGCCAGCATCGCCGCGACCACGGAGTCGATCGCGTACAGAGACGGGACGGTGTTGATGGTCGAGACCCCGGAGATCGACAGCGTCATCGTCCCCAGGTCCAGCGCGGCCAGCGGCTCGTCCGAGTCCAGCAGCGGCAGCGTGGAGGTCCGGGGCGTCGCCGCCGCGTTGGCTGACTCGATCGCGTTGGCCGACACCGGCGTGGTCACGAGAATGATCGGGGGTTGGCTGGACCGGGACTCGGCCGAGGCACTGGACACGGTCACCTGCAAGCTCCCGGCGTATTTCGATCGCACCGGGGACAGAGGGATGCCGGCCGCCCCGACCAATGCCGGCGGCTGCTTGCACAGAGCCGGATGGTGTAGCTCGTAGTTGTGTTTTGCCGAGTTCCAGAACAGCTTGCAGGACTCCTGCTCGGCCACCCGCTTGAGCGCATCGGCCTCCAGCTCAATTGCGTCCTGGTGGGGCAGTTGGTGCTCCTTGACCATCTCCGCGACCTGATCTAGGGCCAGGACGGCGGCGAGCCGGGGCAGCAGCAGCGATACCAGATTGTCCCCGCGCAGCTCACGCCGCGATCGATCCTCCACCTTGAATGTCATTATCGGGACGCTGTTACTGGACTTGGATGGGTTGATTCTCGTCAGAGAAATCCCATCATTCCGCTCAATCTGCATCGTGTAGAACGGCGCGGTGGGTTCGCCGAAGGAAAACGACGTAGGGCCGCTCCTGCCTCGAGTCAGCAACCATTCCAACATTCCCCAAACATCTCATGCTCACCGTTGCAGCCGTAGATTGAATGTCTCCGGCATAGTCTGCGGTCTCTGGCCGTTGGCCGCTTCCCACAAACTCTTCAGCTCCTCCACGGACGAGTATCGCATCTCAGGTGTATCCAGCACCCCCGAAGGGAAATTTAGCACACTCGCAGGCACCGTCTTCGGACCAAGTGCCTGGTCAATCTCCGGGGCCGGGGACAGAAGGATGTTGCTTGGTCTTGAGTAATTTCGAGGAGTATGGTCGGATGCCTGGGAATAGTATGCTTGCTGATTGAGTGGTAGCTGTGGGTTATACTGTGGAAACATGGACCTCATAGGCGGCGCCGGCGACTCTGACTTTGGGGTAGCTTCTGCGACGGGCGTAGACCCTCCTCTGCTGCGTTTCGAGCTGGATGGAGACCCCACTCGTTTTGCCGTGTGGTCTTCCGATATAGTGGCATTGACATGTGAAGCATTCCGGCGTGCATCGTGCTCCTGGGGTGATCCTAACGATGAGGACGGCGAGGGCCGAGCAACGTGGGCCTTTGGAGGCGCTGAGACGTTGTCTGGATTTTGGTCCACGCGGAAAAGCATGCCCTCGGCCACGGCACCCTTGCTACCCAGGGTCTTGAGAGGGATCGCATCTCCCACCGGTCGACCACCCGCTTGCCTGCGCTTCCCTTTCAAGAACGGGTTGTTGGAGGTCCCACTCTCCGGAGATACGGGAAAGAGCTGAAAGGAGCTCATGATTCCAGAGCCAGACGACTAGACGTCCTGGAAGCGATCAATCGTCGTCAATGGATAGCTCAACACCTCTGAATAATTCTAGCGAGTCAGTCAATGCAATCTCAACACCTCTTCACAATCCTAATGAGTGAGTCAGTGCAATCTCAACACCTCTCACAAACTCAGCAACTCAATCCACCGGACGTCATCCCTCAAAAAAATCAGCGAAGGAGCATAGATATATCCTCCCCGCCAGGCAACACATCCTCCCCCTGGTGTCACGAAGCGGTGACGGCAACGGCACATAGACCCCTTGGGGCAAGCTTGGCCGGCCAAACCTTCGATAAGCCTCTCCCAAAGGGCGGCAAGGGTCTGCGACCTGACAGGCTGTCACCGGGGGTAAAAGAACGCGAGGCATCCCTGAAGCGGTTCCGGCCGTGGCCGGCGCTTAGAATTCCCCCTCATGCGGCAGCGGTGATAGGCTGCCCCCCGCTTTGGCACCGGCGTGACTCTGGTTCAGCACGGCGCGTCGGAAGGTGATAGCTGAGGTGATGGGCGATCTGATTTGGTCGGTCTTCATAGAGGCGGGGGGGGGGGGGGGGATTTGTTTTGGGCGGTTTTTAAGGGGGGGGGGGGGGGGGGAGGAATTGATCGGCTGTGGTGCATGATTTGACCAACCGTCCGCGTGGTCGGTCTGTGAGTGTGAAGAAAAGATGCATGGGTTAGAGACGAGATGGCTGCAGCAGGGGCGGAATAGTCACTTGCTGGCCCTGGTTGAAGGATATGACTGGTCGTTCTTTGTGTGCTAGCTGCTATCGCTTGAGCCAAGAGTTGCAGAGATAGTGAGAGGGTGAGGGAGTGTAGTCTAGCAGTGAGGAAGTAGTGGGAGGATGCAATGGATGAAGATGGCGGGGAAGAAACAATGCAGGGTGACATCAGCAGAGCCGTAAGCGCGCAGCTGCCAAAACACAATACACAGAACTTGCGGAGTGGCTATAATACATCAATCAGTCTGTGCTTAAATCTAAATCTAATTTACATGAGACTCGACTCTAATCTACATAATCCTCAATCGCTGTGATGAACCCGGAACATCAATCCCTCGGCCATCGCAATGGCGCCCTCCATGTTGCCCTTATTGTAAAGGAACAGGCCCTGTAAGGCGGCCGCACTGGTGCTCCGCGACAGATCCGCCTTGTGCCCCTCGGCATCCTCGATGAGGCCCAATTCCTGCAGCCGGTCGAGGAACGCCTGGCGGTAGACTGCGCTCTGCTCCAGCTCCCCGTAGAACCGGTCCCAGAGCCGACCGACCTGATAGCGACTGACCTCGCCCAAGCGCACCGTCATGTCCACCCGCCCGGGTCTCACGAGCGCCTCATCCAGCCGCTCGACGTGGTTGGTCGTGAGGAAGATGATGCGCTCCTCCGCGCTCGCGACGCCATCCAAAGCATTCAGCAGCCCGGAGAACGTCACGTTGGCCCCGCGGTACCCGTCCTCGTCCGTCTGCGTGCGGCGGTTGGAGAAGGCCGCATCGACGTCCTCCAGCAGGACCAGCGTGCGGTTCGGCAGGATCGTCAGGAGATGGTTCAGCCGGTCGTCGGTCAGCCCGCGTTCGCTCAGGTTCAGAATGGCGATATCGTAGTCCAGCTCGCCGGCCAGCGCCTGGATGAAGGAACTCTTCCCCGTGCCGGGCGGACCGTAGAGCAGATAGCCGCGGCGGTAGGGGATGCCGCGGTCCTGGTACCACCTCGAGCTGGCGGTGAAATCCTTGACGTCCTCGACGATGCGCTCCTTGACGCCTTCGTCGAGGATCACCGACTCGAGCGGGCGCTTGGTCCGCGGCTTCCCGAAGGGCTTCCACTCCGTGCCCCAGCTGTTGTAGATGGTCGTCTTGCCCTCGTGCGCCTGGACCGCGTACGCGTGCGCCTCCTTGAAGATCTCCTCGAAGACGTGGCGGTGGGCGTAGAGCGTCGTGAGCGTGATGGTCTCCCACGGCTGCCCGGTCTTCAGGTCCACCGACTTGGCCTCGCGCATGCGGTTCACGAAGATGAAGGCGTTGTTGTACCGCAGCACGTGGTGACCCATGCCCGGCACGAGGGCGAACTGGGTGTGGATGGCGCCGTTGGTGTGTTCGACCTTCTGCGTTTGGATGGACAGATGGCGCGTGCCCGGGGTCAGTTTGCGGAGGATCGATTCCATGAAGCCAGACCGGCTGGCGGCGGCGGCGGCGCGACTCGTGCTGAGCTGGGAGCTTTGGTACAGCGTCATCCAGTGCAGGAACCACGGGTAGGATTCGTCCTTGACGCTGATCTCGACGTCGACGAGCATGCGCCGGCGAAGGAGCGCAGCGCCATGGCGGAGTCCCTTTTGCGCCAAACTCAGTCCAGCGCCCAGACCCGCGAGACCAAATCCCTGATGTCACGCAGCGCAGCATTAGTAACCTTCTTTCCCTCAAAAAGAACCCGTTTTCGTTGAT